AAGTTGACTCAAGTTGCTTGTGGGGACAGAATAACAAAAGCAGCATAATTTGTTATATATGATGTAATGTCACATACAGCTGCAAAAGACTCATTCTTTGCAATGGAAAAGCTTTATACTTGGTTCAGAAGTAATTGGTGAACTATTTCTTCACCTTGTAGAGTAAATAAAGGATCCCCCCCCCCCAGTTGGATTATATGTCTCTAAGAAATGATATGTAGTAATCCTAACTTTAGGTTCAAGGGTAAAAGCCTTGTTGCATCTAAAGATACACGAATTGTGCTAATGGAAATAAACTGTGGATGGATTACCTCACTCTATTGATTTTTATATGTGCACCAAAAATATCAAAATAGTTGATAGAAAGAAACATCCATTTACTGCAGCCTGTCTGTTGTTTCCAAGGGCAGGCAAATGGATGCAAAAAGTATTTAGGTTATGAGGAAGAGACTCAAGGCAGAGTCAGGAATTAACTAGTTTCTGTTACTAACTCATGGTGCTAATGTTAAAGAGCTTTTCTTTGCTGATGCTTTGCTGTAACAAACTAAAGTTGCCAATAATATGAAAACAGGGGATATTGTGGAAGCTGAGTGTTACTAGAGTCTGTGTAACAGATAACAAGTTCATATATAATGTATTCATATGTTTATATGCCTCTACCTGTTCCTCTGAAACCTCATGCAGTTTGCACAGATAGCAACTCTGCAAAAGCCAACGTCTTATGGCTTTAATAAACCTCCATCCTCTTACGCTGAGTTGGCAGGATGGTTGTATTGCCCTAATTTCCAACTCCTGTGATTATATAAAATGAGATCAGTGCTGTCCGTACAGTAGTAAAGTGGGTATAACTTAAGTAAAGTGATTGATGGATATCTCTAATTTTGTTTTCCCTTCTACTAATAGCTCAGCTGCAAGTTCATATATATCCACCAAATTATCCGCTTAACATGGGAGAGACTGTAGAGGAGGTAAGTTTGGAAAGATAACTAGGCCCTCTGATTAAAACCATATTATCTATTCTGGCATGGCTATATTAATGGCTTAGCTATATTAACATTTATGGCAATAGCCTTACTTGGGGACCGTATATATTTGCCCTGTATTGTTTAATGTTTTATGATGTATGCTGCCCAGTCACTATCTGAGAAACTGAATAAATAAATAGACATTTCTCAATCCAATAAGCAGCCGGAAAACTATTTTTTTTCCTTTAGGTATCCGATTGCCTGGAGCCGATCTGGGTCAGACATCTAATGAGTAAGGGGATAAAAAAGCCATCTTTCCCACTTTTCCTGGCCTCCCCTCAACCCAGCAGCTGGATACCAAGCAAGATTCATAGGAAGAACATGGCTTTCTGTCAGAGTGCTAGATCTATGGTTCTGACTGCTCTTGAAGATGGTTTCCCCAGTCACCATTTCAGCACCACAATAAATTAATGGTTTTGCATACCTTCATGCTTCATTGCTCTCTGTTGCACTCAGGAATCTCTTTTCCTCCCCTTGCTGATCAGCCATCATTTGAAGAAAGAAGCTTATAATTATTAATTAAGTTCAATGAGTGTGAGGGGAGGGAAGAAGATAGTTATTTTTTCCCTATTCCTCAATCCAAAGAAGCCCAAGAAAACTGTGTCTAAATAGAAATAGGGTGAAGGCTCTGTAGGTCCAGTAAAGTGTGCCTGTCTGGGCACAAGAAAGAGAAAGAGGCATAACTGTCACATTTATAATAAAAATAAAAATCCCGCCTTTATTATTTTTAGAAAAAAATCAAGGCAACAATCGCACATAATATTACTTCCTCCCCCTATTGCTTCCACAACAGCAACCCCATGAGGTAAATTCGGCTGACAAAAAGTGACTGGTTCAAAGTCATCTGACTGGCTTTCATTCAGTCAGAAGTACAACCACAACTCATTGTCTCCTGGTATCTAGCCTGCTGCTATACCAAACTGATCCTTTTGTACACTTAGAAGGTTTCCATGGGGTGCATAGAGCCTTCAGCCCTAAAATATTCTCTAGCTTCATCTACAATGAAGCCCCATCAGGCACCTTGATCAAGATAAAGACTAGTCACTTTTGATTGCCTATTAAAACCAATCCAACATATTATCAATAAATTGCAGCCCATCATGGTCAATAAAATTTCTTTTTCTTTACAAACCTTGGATAATATGGCTGCTCATAATTACAGGCTGTTCTTCCTGAACAATCTAATATAGCTTATTACCAACAACAAACCACAAATAAAAGCAATCCCTCTCCTTACAACAATTCTAGAGAATAAATCAGGTTTTTTTTAATAGGTTAAGAAAAAAAATATGTCAAGTTCTAATTACACCAATTAAAGTTTGAGAACTTTATTCAGTTTATCATCTTCCACTGTGATATATGCCATCATAAGGCATCAGTGCCAGTCTTCATAGTATATAGGATAAACTGGCAAAATTAATAAACAGGTACAAAGGTAATCTCAGAAATGTCAGTATTCAAAGATTAACGTGTGTGCGTGGGGGGAACTTCAGCTGTCCAAGGAACTCTGCCACTGACCTCAAAGTGACCATTTTTGAACAATGGGAAGTTCAGACTTCTAGCCTGGAGCCCCCTCATGAACTGTTCAAGTTCTTCAAGGTTGGATGGCTTCAGAGCACACTGCACATCCAGCAGTGTTCACAAAGCTGCCCATTCTGCAAGCCCTGCCCAAAGTGGTTTAAGATTATGTGAATTGCTTTGTCAAGGTGAATCACTTCACCTCCTCGCTTCAATGAAGCGAATCATGTTGCTTCCACAGCACAAATTTCTTTGTTGAAGCGAAGTTGTTTTGCATAGGTCTATGTATTACCAAATATGCTTGTGGACACTCCAACTTAACATCTCTGTAATTACTTTCTGCATCCCATTTTAAATTGACTGCACAGTTTATAACCAATCACATCACTCTATGTGTGTGTCTATGTATATACTTAAAATAATGCTTCATGTATTGTTGGAAACGTGCTGCTCAAAACTGAAACTTTAATTACTATTATGTTATGCACTAAGTAACACCCTTTTGGACAAAAATGACTTGGAAACAAGAAGTCATTTAGAAACAGGAAGACAATTAGAATTTTATATTTTTATGGTTGAAAAGGATTGATGCTATAAGTCTGGCAACACACTAATACTACATCAATTACACAATGGTTTGAAGGATTCTTAACTCTTCCTTTATTTTTATACAAAAGCTAATGCAGAGAAAGTATATGGAACTTAATTGTTTAATTATAAAACATGACAGGAATAAATATATCAAGTTTTATCTAGTATGTAAGATAAGCATGCTTTTAGGGGCGTTCCCTCTTCTTTCCTGCACACAAGGTTTTATCATATATGATGATTAATTGATTCTGTGCCATCAAGCCAGGTTCAGCTCTTAGCAACCATGTTTGTAGACTTCCAGAATGATCTATCTCCCTACCTGGCCCTTCAGATTTTACAAGGGTACATCCATCCCCACGGAAATGAAATCCATCCACCTTGCTGATGGTGACTTTCTTTTCCTGTTTCCTTCCAATTTTCCCACAATTTTAAAGGGACTCAATCCTTGCATAATACACCCAAGGTATAATTCGAGTCAATTGTGCCTTGAGTGAAAACTCTGATTGATGATCTGTTTGATGATCATTTCTTTGTTTTCTAGGCTGTTACGGCATTGTCAGAAGTCTTTTCCAACACCATAATTTTAAATTTCTTTATATATTTTTTCCTACCATATTTCAAAAATTTTAACAACCCACGTTATAAATCCCTGTCACATGTTTATTTTTAAACACATACATGCGCGCACACACACACATCCTTAAATTTGCATGGGGAAAAAACCTCCTAAAAGATTTTTAATTCATCTTCTTTGTGAAAATTTGCCACTGTTTTACAACTGTTCTATTCATTTGTTGAAGGTCTTTCCACTCCTTTATTTTATCCCTTCTTGACAGATAAAATCAAAGGGATTGAGTAGTTGTTGTTGGGCTCACAAATCATACAACCAACTGTATCTGGTAACCTGACTATGATGCTCAGGGCAAACAAAGAAAGCCACACCATACTAATTTGAAATAGAATAATACTGAGTGTAGCAGGAACATATCTTTCTGTTTCCCAGGAAATTAGGTTGTCATTCCCATCATCTTTACATGTTCACTTTTGTCAGTAAGAGAAACCACACAAATTCACATAAATGCACATTAAATGCAAGTGTCTAATGCTTGCCTTCCCTAGCATTTCTTCCCTCCTGGCAGCCTTCTACCAAGATTGGATTTCCTTTTACTTCATCATTGATAAGAAAGTTTCTAACTTTGATGGGCTCCCTCTAAGACTCTATCCATACAATATGCTTAATTTGTCCTTAATGTGCTAAGCATGAAAAAAAAAAAAAGCTTTACTTGCATGTTTGTCTTGTGGTTTAACATGTGTGTCAACCAAACCAGTTTCTATTCAATATTTTTGGACAACCCAGAACATTGATCAATGTACAAGGAGGCTAAAGATGTTGTGTGAACACAATCTAAAAACTCTGTCTTGGTACATACCTTCCAGTACATACAAGCTACCCATTCAAATATATGAATGAAATCTTTAGCTGTAGTTTATGAGGTTTTTTTCTATCTTCCAAGAGACAATGTGGTGAATTTCCCATATCCACTCAGTGTTTTGGGTACCTGAATATGCTGTCATCAAGGGGCTGTCCCAGAGCAAATTCCCAGAAGATTCTTTGCTGCACATTTCACTTATTATTTCCTTTCTGTGTCAAACCTTGGGCAGGTCCTTTATTGCAGGTTCAGTTATAAACAACATTGGAGACAGGTAGGAAGGCCTTTTGGGGCCAATAATCACTTACCATACCATAACAAAGATTCTACTGACCATGTTTCAGAAAAAGAAATGCCACTTTAAAATATCCCGTGACAAGACAGACAAACACCGAGCATTTCCAGGGTGATGTTGGGAAGGAGGAGAGTTGCTCACCATAGTCTTTCTTGCAATACTTCTTCATGTTTATCTTCAGCTTCCCTTTGGATGCCTTGCAGTAGGTATCACAGTCTTTGGGGATGGACAAGAAGAGAAAAATAGGTATATATACATATACACACAGAGAGACACATGTATAAAGTTAGGCTTAATACACAACGAAGGCATGTGGGGAGAAAGGAGGGATGCAGCAAAGGGAAAAGGGAAGTGAGAGAGCAGAAGCAACTTAGCCTGCTCTGAATAAGCAGCGTGCCTAGGAGATCCATCTGCCAGGACCTGATTGGGTCATCTAATGGGGGCATTCATTGAAAAACCTTCTATATTCCAAAGAAAGCCTTTCACAAAAGAAGCCATCCGCCTCTTCTTTCTTGTCCTCCCCTCCTTGTCTGATGAATTTTTTTAGCCTGTCTTCTGCTGCCTGCTGCAACTCAGCGGCCTCCATGGGAGACCCTGGGCCTCCCTTATTGTACCACCCAGATCTTTAGAGAGGCACAGCTCTTCCCCTCCCCCCTTCCCGGTTCTTAAACGGCAAACTGGAGCCTGATTAAAGCGCACAGAGGCCTCTTTGTCACCCCTAACCCAGACCTGTGTCAGGCTTTGGCATTCATTGCAGAAGGATTCTGGCTGGGGTCACCCCTCCACAAAAGGGGTCAGAGAGGAAATTAGCAGCCCATGAAGCATTAGCAAAGCCTTTGGCGTCCACTCTACTGGAGTGTGCAAATAAAATGCCCCAGTGGGATTGCTTCATTTCTAATAGGCCCTACTGCTGTGATACAATGGTTTTACTCCTTCTGAACATCATCCTGTGTTCCAGTGCTACTAATGTGATGCAGCATAGGCACTTTGGCAGAGCCTGCTGGAGCTATTTTGCATCACTTGGAACATGGGGAGCTCAGTTATGCTTTGTGCATCAAAGGCTGATCCTCACAGTCACATTTTACTCTGCCCATCATTGGCTGGGACTGAATGGAGATCTTACGATTTGCTCTGCCTGCTCGTAATTCTGTTGGAAATACCAAAAAGCACTTACTCTGCAATGACATTCATGTTTACTAAAAAAAAAAAAAAAAACAGGGCTAAAGAGATAGATATGTTTCATGCTTGTGAAACAGTCTGCAATGTACACACCTTGTTTATCTCACATATGAAAAATATGTGTGAGAGAGACGTTGCTCTCTTTATAAAATGACTCAAAGCAGCATACATGGAGATCTCCAACAATATCCTATATTTGAATTGACATATTGTTAGTTTGTTGAAGGCAAATAGCAATCAAATAAGGAGCTATATAGTACAAAATGTTTAATCTCCATCACCATCACTATCACCATCTTGCTAAGTACTTAGAATAATGTTTGGCATATTTCATACAATATGGAAATATAATACATAAAAACCAGTAACATCACAACAGGGTTGCTTTGCTGCTATAATCATTATACTGTAGCTTTTCCAAGGAACTCAGACCTCCTGGCTCTTTTCTACATATATAGTCATGCTTCATATTTTTGTTGGCATTATTTTGATAGCTTGAATCTATTTCATTCCAGAAAAGGCAGCAGAGTCAGAAGCAACAGGGGTTTAGGAGCTGCCAAGAATTAGAAGAATGTTCCAGATAACTGCAGAGGAAGCAGAATCCAGGTGCTCCTTCCATGAGCAATTGTCCAATCATTGTTCTATTGATTAATGAAAGAATGGTTCTCCTGGAACTGCTAATCAATACAAAGGTTACCAGTAACTATAAACTGAGGTCTACAGATAAATGAACCGATACAGGATCTTGGAGGAGAAAATTACTCAATTGAGAAACATGCCTACATTCAGGACAGATCAGCTCTTATCCATTTTAATACTACTAATCATGAGTTGATTATTGTACTGCTTCTGATATACTTGGGAGCTTTGATTTCTTTAATCTCACAGGATTAAAGTAATGATCTCTTTTTTCCCCCACCATCCTTGAGTGCAAACTCAAAGCCACCGGGTCTAAAGCTGTGAAGCAAACTCAATTTGATGGTGAAAAGATATTTGAGTGAGCATCCCAAAGGTGCTTTTTCAAGAGGCAACTGGATTTTCTTGTTTTTCTTTGAAGATGTTTCAGACCAATTCATACTTTTATTCTTGCTACATTCTTAATGAAAGCTACACCTTCATTTCCCTTTCATTCATTCATTATATGGCACAAAACCAGAAGACATAGATTCAGAACTATTACATCCTTCTACTTCCTCTTAGTTTTACAACATATTCTTTCATTTGAATGATTAATTTATGCTATTTGTATCTACTTTTGTTAGGAGGCCAGTAATTTCATCACTGAATTCTTTAAGAATTCTCGGGTTGATGCCATCCAGACCAGGTGATTTGTTTCTATATGCTGTCTCAATATATTTTGCAATATCTTCATCTGTTACTTTAATTAGCTTTAGTTGTTCCAATTCATTCCCTGAAAAAGTCAATACGGGGCCAGGTCTCTGTTTCTTCTGTGACAGCAGAGACTTTATACATTCCTTCAGCTTCTCATTCATTCTGTTGCTATCTAATGGCTGAACCATTGCTCTGGATTTTTTCCATTCAAATAACATTTAAGTTTTTATTATTTCCTGTTTTTTTTTAATTATTTTTTAGGATTCTTTATATTACCCTATACTTTTTCTGCTTCTCTTTCCGCTCTGTGTTAGGACAGGTTTTAAGGAAGTCATCTTAACTTTGACAGCTTCCTGGATGTTGGTTGACCCTTCATTAATTGGGCAAAACATTACAGTTGAGCCTCAATGATTGTACTTTTAAATATCCTTAGGAGGATATTTAATTATTTTGACTTTTCCTTTCAATCTCTATTTCACCAGTCTGTTTATTTACTAGATTATATATCTGCCTATCTTATGCAACATAACTTTGAGTGGCTCACACACAACAATAAAAGCAATAAATGCAGAAAAATCAACACAGAAAACTTCAACTGCTACCCTTCTCCATACATCCTTAAAAAAAAAACTTTAAGGGATCCAGACTCACACTACCCCAGTGCTTATGGTAACACGCAGGTTTTTACTGCTTTTCAGAGGATTTGGAGAGTTGGGACCTGCTGGATCCAAGGGGCAGCTATTGAGAAAGCATGCTGTCTAGATCCCATTAGATGACAACAATTGAGGAAAAGGACCTGTATCACAGCCACTCTATCAATCCTAGGTAGATCTCCTTGGGGAAAGGCAACCCTGAAGATAACCTGGTCCTGTGCTAAACAGGTTTTATGGGTAATAATTCACAACTTGATTTGCCCACCTGGAAAGAAACTGGAAGCCAATACAATTCACATAGCAGTGGTGTAACACAGGTGAATTGTGAGGTGCTTAAAACTGTGCATGCTGTCATTTCCTGGACCAGATATAATTTCTGGAAAATTTATTCTAAACCTAGGTTAGTCCCATAAACTTTATTAGAATGGTTAAATGTCTCTGATTATGGACTATCTGAATTTAATTAATGAAGACATTTTATGTTTCCATAGAAAAGAAAGAAAAGAAGCACGAATAAGGTATGTTCATCCTAACTGTGGTACAACAAAACATAACATTTTTTTTCTTCATTTACAGAAGTAATACAAGTCTTCTTGCCTCTTTTGAGGACCAACAAAATGATTTTAAAGACTTTTCATGCAATAAAACTACAGCAGATGGTAAGGAGACATACCTTAGTTTTCCTCTATGATTTCTAAGATTGCCTAGCAACACCTCCTGCTGACTGAATGAAAAAGCTATAAAAACGTCACTGTTAAAGATTTTTTTTATCCAGCAACAATACAACTGTACCTTGGTGAAAGTACAGAGAATAGAAATACAGCATGTTTTTAATTTGGTTTGGAATTCAGATGGATCATGTTAAAAGCTATATAGGTTTTGGCTTCACCATCTATCAGATTTTACATTAACTCTAATTTAATGTAAATGTAATGTAAATAATGGGATTTTCTTGAACCTTGATTATGAATCTATCATTTCATTGTAACAATGTGGAAAAGAGAACAATAAATAAAACAACTTATTCATATTATTTCCATTTTCATATAATTTCTGCATCAATTTTGGACTTTATGGTTGCTGTGACAAGTATGGATCTGTTCCAGTCCTTTAATAATCTTTTGATTATGGAGGGATATTTTCCTAATTTTGGTTTCATGGCTGTAAAGGAAGAGATTGACTGTCAAAATCAGATCGTTGAGGATTTAGTTTGGGGCTTCCTTCCACATCTTCAAGGATGGAGAACTTCCTTCTGGAACCTGATGAATTTTTCAGAATACTGAGGAATTTGTCAGTTAATATGGCCCACACTTCCTTTTAAGCAAGAAAGGAACACTATTTGGAAGTCAAGAAAAATATCATTTTTATCAGAACAAATTGGCAATAAAGTTGATATAAATTAGGGTTAGGTTAGGGTTGTTGATAGGAAAGAAATAACTGGATACAATACCACATCTTTAAATATGTTGACTATATATTTATTTTATTGGTCCTTTGTTGTCCAAAAGGCTATCGGAGTCTGAACCTATTCGGTGCAATCTAATAATATGACTTTAATGATAAGATAGTCATAATAATGGAAGTGATATGTAACCTATAATAGGTATAGCTGCAATAAAAAAATAATGGCATCAGCCTGCATGGATCTGTAGCAGTGGTGGGATTCAAAATTTTTTACTACCGATTCTGTGGCCGTGGCTTGGTGGGTGTGGCAGGAGAAGGATACTGTAAAATCTCCCATTCCCTCCCCACTCCTGGGGGAAGGTTACTGCAAAATCCCATTCCCCCCCACCCTGCTAACCTGCTTTCCAGCTCTGTTCTCCTGTGCAGGGCAACAAAAGAAGACCCAGTCGATCAGCTGGGACTCGGGAGGCAGAGAATAGATGGGAGCGGGGCCAGTCAGGGGTGGTATTTGCCAGTTCTCTGAACTACTCAAAATTTCCACTACCCAGTTCTCCAGAACCTGCTGAATACCACCTCTGTAGGTACCATAACAGAAACCTTCTTGAAGCTGGCCAAACTCTTAATGGACAACTTATTGTGCTTTCTTGA